TTCATTCAGTATTCATTCAGTATTCAGTATTCATTCAGTATTCAGTATTCATTCAGTATTCATTCAGTATTCATTCAGTATTCATTCAGTATTCATTCAGTATTCATTCAGTATTCAGTATTCATTCAGTATTCATTCAGTATTCAGTATTCATTCAGTATTCAGTATTGTGTAAGATAAGGTGACGGATTTCATTTTATCCTACTCAAGAAAATATTCCGCTCACAAAATACCAGGAAACAGAACACGGAACATTAATCGATGAACTGCTGCCAGATACCGAGCAAATATTTACGGGTATGATTTCTACAATATTGTACTAAAATACTATGCTGATATACAACAACTCAAATATAACAAGGCAGAATAGTGCGAACCTTGAGCATAAAATTAAACAAAACAACTTTGATCCAGTTGTCACTTACCTAAAGCTGAGATCTCAAGATATAAAGAAGATAGAGACTATCCAGTAAAACACGCACCTGTTCGTAATTATACCTTATCAAGATATTTAACAAAGACAAACACTGAGTTCTAATGTAAAGGGACGGTCCACTAATTGAGGTAAGAATTAACACTATCTTTCATTGGTTATTATATTTAAAAATTCCTCGCACACTGTTCAATTTGTTGAGATCTTCTGATATAATTGTAGAAAATATAAAATATCTAGACCAGTCCTGACAAGAGATTTGAGTCAAATACATTGCACAGCTGCTACTGTGACTATTCTGTACTAGGTCTATGGCTATTATACAATGACATATTATTCTTGAGGCTGTAAAGTAACCGTCTTGTAAGTACTCTCTATAAATTACATTTCATATCAAACAGTCAGTGTAATACGTGATCGAGTACACTATATATTTATCAGCTTCTACATTTTGTTGACACGTATTTATTTTAAGAAAGTCACATTTTTATCGATTCACTTTAGTTTTATTTGGTTCTTAAATTAAGCAAATATCTGTCAAGTACAAACACAGCTGTTGCCGTAAATTTACTTTACAATGACGGTACAATCTTGGTACGATCGAGTAACCGTCCTGAAAAGTGCTTTCTCATTACGTTACCATATCAACCAGGTGTTGTCCTAAACTGTACACTCTAGTTAAATTTAGCTAGCACATAAGTCAGTATATCCCTTTATCAGTACATTGTACTGCAGAGGTCGCCTTGAACCAGATGTTAATAATGTCGATAGACAACTGATGTAATTGTACGTGAACGTGTACACTATTCATTTAACGACTTCTGCTGTGTGATGAATGTATTTAGTTGATACTTTGTATCGCATAATGTAGGGTTAGATAATTGCTTGATGGGTTAAACTAGGCTAAAATGTGTAAAATAATAATATAAACGCATTTGAGAACGACTCCGACTGGGATTCGAACTTGTAACCTCTGGCTAAAATGTGGCAGATTAGTCAACTGTGCTAAAGCTAAATGTGCCTCAATTTTAGGGGTAAACGGAGCTCGAAAAAATCCTCTTACACTACTCAAATTACGCGACTTTTACAGCTAATTTTGCTCCAAAAGCCGCGCACCATCAAATATGGCACCCAGGCGAAACTCACTGATCTTTCCAAAAATGTATGACAAATTTGGTATTGTGAAAATTCTCACAGTCTCTAGAAAATAATGGTACAAAAATTTTTAAAATCCGAGCAAGTTTATTTTTATGGTTTACCCCTAGCACAGTAGCGCATCTCGCTGTGAGAAGCCTCATTGAGTGCGCGGCACAGTTGACAGTACACAGTAACGCATCGCGCTACAAGTTATAAACCAACAAGTACAAGACTATTTATGGTTTTTACGATTTTGCAGCCGAACAAAACTTGTAGGTTTACAACCTACCAGGACGCGCGCCGAGTTGGACTCGTCGACGGTCTATTAGTAGAGGCTCTTACAGGCAAAAAGACGTGTATTCTGCTACGAGTTTAGAGACCTAACCGCTAATTAGACACAATAGTATGATGTCTAAGGATCGATAATATGTTAAGAAGTATAAATTTGGCCTTATTAGTCACGTGCTATACCAATGCGCGTTTTAAACTTTGACAGTCTATTACTCTACGGCAAATAGAGTAATTATATTCATATTTTGTCAGCAATAAGATCACATTATTTTCTATTTGGTGTGAAGGTATAAGCTAGAACGGACATAATCCCGCTGAGTTATAGCTGTTTGAAATTTATGATGAACGCGCGGGTGCCAATTGATAACAACTAAATGCTTTTAATTGCGCGTAGTGCGCGTCGAAAATTTGGCAAAAACGCTTGCGGAGTGACAATATTCAAACTTCGATGAAGTATATGAAGTGGGTACTTCTCGGAAAGGAAAAATTTAGGCAAACACGCGCGATGTGACTATTTTTGGGTTGATTTAATACAACTGCAAAAAATTATTCAAACTTCAAGCAAAAAAGTTGACCATTGTTAATGGTCTGACCCGGCGCGCGCTACTTCGTAGCACTTGCCATCGGGAAGAAAGCGGCGCGCGCTACTTCGAAGCGGCGCGCGCTACTTCGAAGAAATTTAGACGAGTAACATCCGTCAAGCAAAAAAGTCAAAGTTTTTACCACTTTTTTGGATTTTTAACTGCGCTAAAATAGAGGGATTTGTTTTATTTTTATACCATCTTGTGCAGCTGTCTTTTAGCTATCTTCATGCAAGTTTTGCCGACATGCCAACAAAATTAACTTGCTCAAATTATCAAAAAACATGGTTTTGGGCCTATTTTTGGCCCCAAAATCGGTTTTTTGCGATTTTAACCGCGCTAACTTAGTCCAATCATCTTAAAACTACTTTTAATCGATTCTACGGTCAAAAATACCTCTAGTAAGGTGTATCTGGGGTCCCAAGCGTATCGTGCAGACAATGCCCGTAAGAGCCTCTATTATATATATGGAACAGATATTATACGAGTACCACCCGTTAAAACAAAACTGAAAACGGGTTTGTTAATTACTTTGCATCATTATAATAAACCATTTAATAATTAATATAATTAATTGACGATGTCCATTTTTCGCAGATCGCGGCGAGGCCCAATAGCGCATCTCGCCGATCTAAATGGCGGAGAGGCCATTGCTCTGTCAACAATCTACTGAACTGTCAACTCTGAAGAGAAACGAGTTCAGTAGATTGTTCTTGTACATAACATGAGGCTTGTACATAACATGTAATGAGGCTCATAACCAATACTTCCACTTTGCGGCTTACTCCAAAGCAGTGACGTAACGAAGGGCGCCGCCGACCCTGCTGTGGGGGGCGGAGTTTAACTACGGTACTTAACTACGGTAATACTAGCAAAACTGCGCGTTTTATTTGCTCTAGAAACACATTTTTTAAAGGGGAGGTGGCGCCAACAGGGGGGCGCTTTTTCAGCGGGGGCGCTGCAACAGGCAACGTTACGCCACTGCTTCAAAGGGGATATAAGAAAGTGGGTACAATTTCCCGTTAGTGGTTAGGGTCGGGGTTTCAGCATATGCTTTTGTTAGATATTGGGTTAGGGTTAGGGTTGGGATCAGATTAGAGGATTTTGAATAGTCATTCTGGGCCACCAAGAGAACGTGTTTAAAAAGTCACGTGACAGTCGAGTGTAGAGTGATTAATCATCATCCGACCCCCAACCCATGTAGCTGAGACATCTCACAGCAAGTAGACTAAAGTGGCTCTTGCTTGTGAATGGTGCCGAAGCGGTGGGTTGGGAGTCCCCCTGGGATCATTTCGTCCATAAAATTGTATACTATATAAAATAGTACTGTAAAATATCTACAAAATTTACATAAACAAATCTTGGAGACCTCAAAGGTTCAAGATACTGGGCTGTTGATCAATGATCTTCCTCTGATTCCTCTCAGTGCAATGAGTGTACTTCTTAACAGATCAAATCTGAATCGTGTTCTGATATGATTTTTGACCTGGCTCTTGGCTTCGTTTTTGTGGTTAAGAATTCTAGGACTTCAGAGATGGTCCCACAGTGAGATACACAATCCCACAATCCGCGAGAGTTTTGCACTGGTTCCTTGTCTAAGGTGTAATTAACTGTTCACTAAATGCTTGTATGCATTTGATTGTTAGTCTAGATTTAATGCACAATATTATTGTATTGATCCTATGATTTCCAATTTGCAGATTGCGAAGAGAAACAGGAAATGAACCATGCCTACTAATATTCTGACTTCCCTAGAAATGATGTGTGTATAAACTGTGTTCCTGTCGTTTGAAATAGGCCATTAGATTATGTCCTTGATTAGTAAGGAATAAAATTTTTTAAAGGAATACAAATTTGAATTTTGATCTTTATTACAGATTATGAGTACCACTGTGCCCTGCTCGGATGCCTTCCGAAATAGCTTTTTTCATAGATCTATGCTGAATTGGAATAGTCTACCAGTATGTATCCGGCAGTCAGAGCGGATTTCTACTTTTAAGGCCAAACTGATCAGGTACCTCTGGGCTGCCGATACTGTCTGGCCAGATTAGCTCATCAGTCTTATGAGTCTCAGAAATTTGTTTTTGTTGGTTACAATTCTGTCCGTCCAATTTCCTATCTGCTTGTCCTTTTCTTATTTCTTTATCAGTTGTGACGGAATTGTAATGAACAAAATCCTTATAATTATTTATGATATGTTTGATTTCTTGTTAATGTTTGTCATTCAAATTTGGTAGACGGCCCCAACGTTAATGTGGCTCTTGCTATGTGTTGGTTCAGCCGAATTAATTATTATAGTTAATCAAGTTTATTTTTCTCGTTAGTTGTCATCCGGCCAAACATTAAGCAACTTATATTGCAGTACCATTTATCATTTAGTAATCAAAATATGTCATTGTAATTTTGCATGGCTGAAATGTAACGCTTGATTTATATATATAATGATTAATTGAATTTTCAAATAAAAAACATATCATAGATAACCATTATAAAAGCTGCGCGTCTGTTGATTGCCTCAACTTGGATTAATAGTAATTTCAATCGTCAGAAGCTTAATGATGGCAGCTCAAATTGCCCAGTGCACCATCGACAAGATCAAGGACTCGAGTGCCAATAATGGTTTTTCCAAACCCCTTTTTGCCGATTGGCTGGTGGTCCTAGCTTCCTAGTGAGCCGCACCCTACTGCTAAACGGCACATGATGGTTTGTGTTTTAATACTTTAATTTAAACGATTATTCAGTTGATGGTTATCAGGTTATAAATTATAGGTCCTATTTCTTTTTGCGGCGTGCCAATAAAATAACGAATTCGTATTTGCATTTATTGCAGTTTGTTACGATTTATTTCATTTGACCTCACTTTTCTATTTAGTTTTGATATATTTTCTAGTGGGTATGTTTTTTCAGGAGTGCCCACTGGGGTTTTATTTTAAACTGATTATGATGTAGTTAATAAATTAGTCCATTAGAGACAATCCCCTCACGAGGGGCTTTCAATCAATTCTTTTCCTTTTAATAATCACGGCTTGACCATTCAGTTATACTACGGTGTTGAGGAGTGCCCACTGGGGTTTTATTTTAAACTGATTATGATGTAGTTAATAAATTAGTCCATTAGAGACAATTTATTCTTTTCCAACACTACTGCACAACAAACGCCTGCCCATCATGTGATCAAAACATCCTGTTTTCAATTATTTAAGAGATCTTTAACTCAATCTCCATAGTTTATCCTCCAGCACCCTTCCCAAGAGTGGACACTGAAAAGGCAAAGAAAGGTTACACTGTTAAAAAATGATTGTTACCACTGAGATCGATAATGATGGAATTTTAGGTCCATGTTTTGACGACAACTACATCAGTTGAATTAAAAAGTGTATGTATTTTTGTTTTTTTATCTCTCTACCCAGTGATTTACTGGTGCTGTTTGAGCCACCTAAAACCAGGACAGAATCAGAATATCTCAGACTAAGTTCAGAACATTTAATGAACTGTGAATTATATGATGTATTGTGTATACTACTACCTTACTACCTAAATTATTTTGGATTGCCTCCTATTATTTTTCCCTTGAGATCATATATCAGTATATTATTTCCTCTTATCTCATCCATATCACGTGAGGATAATTCCTTGTGCTAGTCTCACCTCGTGAATATCTTATAATCTTTTTATTACTGAAATTCTCAACATTATTAGTCTTATAATTTACTGACTGTCATTGATTAATTGTTATTCATACAATTATCATGAAACTTACCAGTAGGACTTTTATGTTAATTCTTGTGGCAGTGGTCGATTGAGGTTAAATAATGTGAAAAATTCTCTCCTGATAGGTCACACCATGATATTTGTATCGAAGTAAGTAGGTTTCTGTGATCGATGATTGCTTATTGCACGCTTGGTTTTTAATTTTTGGAACCAGAATTAATGACACAATAAATCACAATTTTTTGTTTGTTGAGGAAAATATCAATTGTGCAGTGCAAAAATAATGATTTTTAATTCATAATTCTGATATTTACAATTTTTATTATGACCCAAGATTAGGATAACATCTTTCAGTCTATTGTGTAATTAATATAATAATTATTCTTGAGATCGCATGTATAGTCTTAGAAAATTCGATACTCAATTGATAATTAAATTTCTTAAAACTCTGACATTGTCTGTAACACCATTAATTCTTAAACTGATTCTCTTACATTTATTCGAACTTTTCCTTATCTTTTGTACCGTTTTTAACGTTACAACTGCTTAAAACTGCTTATCTCCTCACTACGTTATTATAATTGTTAATTTTCAGATTAGTGCTAATACTGCTGTTCAGCTGTTACATGTGTGGTAAGTACCTGCTGTGTTTAAAATAAAAACTTATCAAGTAATTGGTAAGAATAAATATAGTCGAAAATATTTACTGTATTATTTCCTTTTCCCTAGAACAGGATTCATAGCCAAACTGATGTAAACGTTTCTACTTTTTACTATGTATCTCCTTTTATCATTGCCTTCCCCTAAATGGAAATATCACTCAATATTAGGCAATATTAATTTATGTCCACTAAATAAAGCTATACATCATATCGTTATTCTTTGACATCTAAGCGAAGACTTACTGGTTTATTCTGTTAAAGGAAGTGTCGTTTTCAGGTCCTGATATATTTAAGTTCACATCACAACCTGTATCAAAAACTGTTAATCCTGGTGGAACTGTTACTCTGTCCTGTGTAGCTACTGGAAGAACTGGTATTATAGCATACTCCTGGTACCAGCTAAAATCAGACTTCAATGCTCCTCCTCAGAACACAGACCTGATTAGTGGAGCTACAGGAGCAGAGTATTTAGTGGACGCAGTTGATGTTGATGAAAGTGGAGAGGGTAATTTGTTCCAGTGTAAAGCTACTTATGGAGACGATATTATTCTCAGTAAAGTTGCAATGGTAAAGTACACATTGGACGGTTGGTAGCACTTAAACTATCAATTTATTTAGGACATCATTATTTTTATCAGGAATTTCTACTACCTACTTTGAACGTTAACATTCCCTAATTTATACATGTTGTGTTCAAATACGATAGTTGATGGTCAGTTACTGAGTAACAATTAAAGTCCCTACTATAATTAAACAATGTTGTACAATTTTTCCATATTAGTACAATCTTATATTTCTCAGACAAGTTAAGTTTCACTGGGGACAGCTATGAAAATATAAAATCGGAAACCGGAGATGATGAAGCTGACCCTAGTGCCTTTCTTTGGAGGTTAAAGTGCAATGGTCATGCTGATTGGAGTACAGCAATCAAAAATGGAGAACCCTACGATGTTTACTGGTACAAAGGAACTGAGACTGACAGGGTTGAAGTTAAATATACGAATATGTGGACATATTACACAAGTGGGTCTACTGGTTCTAATTCTATAACACTTGATATTGGAGGCAGTAAATATGCAGAATATACAGACTTAGGTCAATACGACCTGGTAATATTTAACCCTCAGACGTCTGATGGTGGAACTTATTATTGTAAAGCAGTGTCAAGGGGTAACGGAAACAGTGTCACATTAGGTTCAACAATCCTAGATGTTAAAGAACGTGAGTAATATTGTTCCATAAATTGTACAAACTTCTGCATTATTTAGCCTAGAGTTGGTCGAGGGGTTTAAAAGTTGATGCATCACTAGTACAGGTAAACCCCCCCCCCCCCCCCCCCCCCCCCCCTAAAATGTCACCACCCCTAAAACGCCACTCTTAATTGATTGGATCCCATCTTCTTAGAAAGTATTTTACCTAATCATTTGTAACTCCTAAACATAAAAAATATCATTCAGACCCTGCCACATCCTGAAATTGAATCTAAATGATGCCATAAGGGCATTTTTTTCACTTTGTAAGAATTATATGAAATATTGACACTGGAAAAACACTGGTAAGTATGCAGTGTATACATTCTGCATGATATTATGATTTTATGAAACAAACGATTGGAATTTTTTATTAAGTGTCTTATCTGCAGAGAATAATGATTATGATATTCAATCTGGAGTCATAGCAGCGGGGTATGTTGTGCTGGCTGTTGATGAAACCGGAGATCGCAAAGTCACCCCAAATGTTGGTGATAAAGTTCTTCTGATGTGTGGAGGTGTTTGTAGAGCTAGTGATAAATGGGATATTCAGTACAAATGGAGGAAAGGTAGCAACTCTAATAGTCCTGAAGTATCTACTTCGAGAGAGCATATTGTGCAGACTGACAGTGCTGGGTCTGTAGAATACAGATGTGAGATAGTGAATGGTGCTTCCTGTGGTAATCCTGACGCAGAGAAAGTGTTGTTTGTTGTTCAAGGTAAGACACATGAAAACGACACATGTATTACTTTTTGATTCTAATCTTAATAATTAAATGTGCAAGATACATGACAATGTCAATCATGTCACTATAATTTCAGCTGCTGAGATTGATCCCCTTCTCCAGTTCACATTCTCCAAGTCTCCACCTGAGTACATGTGGTATGACACCTCTGATAACTCTAAGTCTGACAACCCCTTTGAGATAAACTGTGATGGCTCTGTCTCTTCTGGGAGTGCCACATTTATAAAACATATTTTCAAGAAAGGAACTCGTGTATCCCTTACATTTCCTTACACTTTTGAGTCTGATATCAAGTCAGCAAGAAGTGGAGTGTATCAATGTGGGCTGTACAATGACCCGGTCAAAATGACTTGGTATCAAAAAACGACGAACGTTATTATCGCTAGTATGTGTGATTCATTAATTCATTGTTAAAATGTTAGATAAATAGACTTGAATGGAGTGGTTATGTTGTCGGTGTTAATAACGGATAGATATTAAATAAGCTGTGCATAATTTTAACTAAAAGCCATAATTACTGTATCTAATTCAGTCCACTATATCATTGAGTTAATCTGGATTCTGATCCACCACATTATAAATAATTTAGTGTGATTGATTATCATCTTGCAGGTGATCCGACTAGTAGCATCACTCCTACAAGTAAAAGTGTGGAAGATGGCACTTCAGCTACATTTACATGTACTGTGGGTGGGTACCCTATAGAATCAGTTACTATCAGTGATCCAAAATCTGTGAGGACAGATTGTCCACAAACTAGTGGAGACATAACTTGTAGTTCTATTGCCAATACTTCAAAATATGAGATCACTGTGTCCGGATTTAGTTCTGCAAAGAACGGAGATTACACGTGCACAGTGCAAACAAGATGGTATAAAACTGACAGTACTGACATGGGGAAAGTTAGCTCTGATAAGATAACACTACAATACGGTAAGAACATGAATATTTATTTGTTGTATGTTATTTACAAAATATGTTTATTGGTAGTCGATCCATACTAATTTTTAGTGGCATAAGTTTGTTAGAACTTTTGTATTTAAATGTTTTGATAACTTTTATGTTACTGAGAGTAATGTGATTTTTCAGTGAAAGCAAGTACTACTGAGCTGACTGCCAGTAAAACGTCAGTCAACAAAGGTGATAGTATCACTTTAACCTGTGTTGTTGAGGGTTACCCGGAACCTAACATACCAACTCTCAAAAAGAAAGGTTCTTCATCCCCAATAGCCTGGACATCAACATGCACAGGAACTAATGTAAAGAAATGCTTAAAAACTTTCTCTTCTCCAACGTATTCAGATTCAGGAGAATATTTGTGTGAAGGCAGCAATACCATTGATGGTGTTTCAAAAACATCTGATGATGATGTCAGCTTAACGATAGGTGAGCTTCTGTGATACTGCAACCTATCCAGTTGGATTTTAGTAATTTATTACACTATAAGAAATTTGATAATGTTTGTATTTGCACAAAGGTAACTTTTGGCATGACATATTGAATAGAAATATGAATGATCAAAGAGATTGTTTCGTAGAATTCACTGTAGCTCCAGAGTCCAGAGTGTAGAAAGGAAATACTGCAATATTTTCTGATATATTCACACTTCTTTAAAATCGATTAAGGGGGCAGGGGCGGGGGGGGTCTTTATGAAATTTCTCTCGAAATTGATTTTATAGTTGTTTCTGATAGAGGGGAGTGATATCTACCAGATGTTTTTGGTCCCATGGAAAAATTTCGTTCCTAGCCGAAATTATTGCCGGTCAAAGGTCAGCGCTCATGTGTAATTGTATTGCGCGAGCGATTTTCAATCGCGTGCCCTGAAAATCGAGTTTAAAAATCTATCTTCTCCTACATTTTTTGAGCAATCACCTTGAAACTTTCAGGATATGTTCTAAGGACCATTTAGAAACTTCTGGTCTATCATAATTTTAAAATAGGCCTTGATTTGATTTGATTTGAAACTTTTACAAAATAGCAAATATACAAATGTACAGCAAATCGAACAAACATATAAAATGGGCCGAAATGTATAAATGCTATAAAGCGTGGGTCAGTGAAACAAGTTCAGAGGACAACTTTTAAAACACGAGGTTTATGGCCGCCCAAAGTCTCAATAACGTCACTTCCACCTAGTAATAAAATTATGAAATATGAAGTGTGAAACAAAATATGAAATATGAAGTGTGAAACAATCAAGAAATAGCTCGTATATAAATTATAAAATTGTCTCTCAAATACAGATAACGTCCGAGAACTATTAAGATACACAATACTCATTCAAATACTGATCAGTGTCCGAGAGACATGAATTGCTTCACGGTGGTTTCTTATCACGGCTACAGACTTTCCCGTACCGGATATAGTGGTCGAGATGAGTCTGTTCAACCCTCTTCTTCTTCAGGTCCGTAACCAGATGTTTCCTCGTTGCTCGTTCTTCGCTAGATCTATCTGGACAGATCCATACATTTTTGTGGGTCTCAACTAGCCTCAGTCTTCCTGTTTTCGTCAGAATCTGTTGAACCGCTGTAGAGCTTGGGACAGTGATCTTTACTGGTCGGATAGTCGTACTCTTCCTGCCAATCTCCTCCAGAACTGCGGTTACTAGCGCTGGAAGCTGTTCTCCCTCTTCTTCTTTCAACCCAAACACGATCAGGTTCTTGCTCCTGTCCTCCTCTGCAGCCACACTCTTCATCACCTTCTTCAGGATGTTACTGTTGCAGACCGTACCACTTGCACTGTTCTGTTGTACAGCTGCACTGTAGCTCTTTATCCCTGACTCCACCGTTGTTTGCACTGTCTTCTTAACCGACGTCTTAAACAACTCTAGTACAATGTCCTTCTGTACAAGCAGCTGGCCCTGCAGCCTGATCAACTTATCCTTGTCTTCTAACGCTTCCGTCTTCAAGAAATATATGATCTCCTCCATTTTACCCATCTGGCATTCATGCCGTTGAACGAGGTCTATTGCTCCCACAAGCCGAAGTGCCAGATGCTTTTTATAGACAGTTGGAGCCATAAATATTTCTCTGTCCATATCTCCACAAATATCTCTGTCGTCGATTTTCAGTTCTTTTCCCAGCGTAATGAACCACTTAGTAACACTGTCCTTCAATTTTGTCTGTTCATCATACTCGAATCCTTGAATTTGGTCCAGAGATTGGGTCACCTTACGATCATCCTCCATAATCTACTTGTATAGGAATGTACAAGTACACACGCAAAGGCTAACTACGCGGTAGCAGCAAACTGAACTTATCGCAATTTACAAAAGATAAGAGAGCTCGATAATTGCAACGTAAGCTACACTGACTACACACCTTAGAAACGTTTTTATTCGATTTTGAAAATCTTGGACCTGAAAAAATCGTCAAAAAAAAAACGAGGTCCAAGATTTTCAAAATCGAATAAAAACTTTTCTAAGGCCTATTTTAAAATTCTGATAGACCAGAAGTTTTTAAATGGTCCTTAGAACATATCCTGAAAGTTTCAAGGTGATTGCTCAAAACATGTAGGAGAAGATAGATTTTTAGACTCGATTTTCAGGGCGCGCGATTGAAAATCGCTCGCGCAATACAATTACACATGAGCGCTGACCTTTGACCGGCAATAATTTCGGCTAGGAACAAAATTTTTCCATGGGACCAAAAACATCTGGTAGATATCACTCCCCTCTATCAGAAACAACTATAAAATCAATTTCGAGAGAAATTTCATAAAGACCCCCCTGCCCCCTTAACTGTTAAGCAAGTCAGTAGAATATAATCTGATTTTGTAACTATCAAACCTTTCAGTGGGAGATGTGGAGGCAAGTTTAGCCCAATCCCCTTCAGGAACCGAACTGGACAAGGACTCTCCTGTAACTTATACTTGCAAAGTCGAGGGAAATGCTCTACCAACTAAACTGACTTTTAAGAAAGGCAATGTAGCCTTAAAATCGTATGATTCATCAGACAGTAGTAGTAGTCATGCTGATGTTGTGAAAGAAACTTACTCCCTTTCATACACGCACACGATCAGTTCGTTAACATTAGAAGACTCGGCAGTGTATATGTGTGAAGGTGAAAATGACAACAGTGGCATAAAAACGGATGGTGACACCAAAACTCTAACCGTAGTGTCTGATGTAATTGTTACCCTCTCAGCAAGCACTGATACTCCTTCTTTTGGGGATACCTTTACTATCACCTGTTTAACAACTGGAGGTAGTTAATCATACATTTATTTAACTTTTTTCGTTTTGTAATAATTGATGTTTCATCATTCAATTTTGGTTTCTCGGTTAATTGATGAAGTTGATCGATAGTGGGGAAAATATACTTTATTATATCCTACAATACACTACTACTACTACAGCTACTATGTCGGTGCTACCTCGGTAAGTCCGATCTACGCCAGAAAACCCCCTCCATATATCCCTGTCCTGCATCAGGGTTCGCAGTTCCTCTTTAGAGTTTGTCCCAACTTCCTTCAGTAACATAGACAAGTAGCTTTGTCTTGGTCGGCCTTGCTGTGCTCTACCGTGCGTAGGTTCCCATAAAGCCATAAGACTAAATCACTGGCAAGCAGCTCAGGATGTCGGATGCGGTATCCCGCCATTTTTAATCTCCTACTTCGTAACTTGTTTGACACTTGACAGCCTTGGTAGGTGTTATGAATCGTTGTGACAAGGTAAACGCAAGACTAAAAGCTAAAAGCTAAACCAAAACACAGGTTGTCATCCTGAATAGTATATCGGTTAATAATACAATAACACAATAAATTACTAGAATATATAACATCCCGTTCAACTAAAAAGTGTTAAAAACAATATAGATTTAATAATTCAACTGAATTCGTAAAAAATGTGATATAAATTAATCGTACAAAATTTAAAATGTCTGAAAACGTGGTCAAAATGAAATCTACAAAAGTGTGAAGTGAACTCACGTGAAAATATTGAAACGTGTTGCGCTCGCTACACGATTTAAAACTAAGCGCATTCCGTTTAAAACAAAAATAACGTGTTATTCTTCAAAACGTAAACGTGACAGGGAATCTTTATAACTTTACGTTTGATCTGGATAATTTAACTGGATTAATGTGTGGTTAGATTTACACATTCAAAATAAAACAACTGTCATAAAATGTGATAATGAAACGTGTTTTATGTTCCTCCCAGTTTGCGGTAACTTAGCCTGTCTGGTGGTTTACTATCACGTGCAAAGTTTGCTGGCAGAAGCAAATTAGGTTTTTGCAATTCATGCTCTCTAACAATATTAGGTTTTATAGTGCTACGGTTTATTTCTATGGCAAGCTCACGTGGTTTAAGTACAGGTTGTGCAGTGATTATAGGTTCAACGGCTGCCTTATGGTCAGGCTCAGCGGGTATATTTGGATTATTACCAACTATAATCGAAGTTTCCGGCTCTGTACTCTCAGGTAAGCTAGCTGTCTTCTCGAAATCACCCTCAGTAGCTGTAGAACTCTGCCCATCTCTTATCTCCAGCTCAACTCTCGGTGTATCCGGATCTGTTTGTTGCAACGGTTCTGACACAACAGATCTCTTGATCACCTGGTCCAAATGCTTGCGGTAGACTCCATCAGGTGTCTTGATCAGTAGCACTTTGGTACCTTCCTTACCCTCGATAACACCGTTTCTCCAGCACTTCTTGTTCTCATCATAGAACGATATAGTGTCATCAATGTTCAGATCACGAAGTCTCGATTCAGCAATCGTGTTCTGATCGTTTAAAGCAACTTTGGCAAACTTACTACTCGAACTCGGGTGTAGAAAACTCAAGGCGTTTCTCGTCCGTCGTTTCATCATCGCAACTGCAGGCTCTACTCCGGTAGTGGTGTGTGGTGTGTTGCGGTAGTTTAGTAGCCAGTCAGCCAGGTTACACATAACGTCAGGGTTTTTCAAGATCATCCGTTTCATAGCTCTTTTAAACAGTCCGACTGCAACTTCTGCTTGTCCATTACTTGCAGGTGAGTAAGCAGGAATAAGCACGTGTCGAATCTGGTTATTATTCGTGAATACTTTAAACTCTTCTGAAGTTAAACTCGATCCATTGTCTGATACTAGTATCTTGGGTAGTCCCCAACGGCTAAAGATGTCTCGTAACTCTTGAATCACTCTCTTACTTGTAATGTTCGTCATTCTAACAACTTCTAACCATTTTGAATGCGAACAGATAACTATCAGCCACATAGATCCAAGAAAGGGTCCACAGAAATCTAGATGAATCCGCTCCCAAGCCTCCATAGTTTTAGCCCATGGGTGTGGTGTAGATCTAGCGGGTTTCTTCTGGTTTAGTTGACATGGTTCACATAGTTTAACCATTTTCTCGATCTCAGCATCCATGTTTGGCCAATAAACATAGCCTCTCGCTAGTGCTTTTGTCTGTGAAATGCCCATGTGTGTTGCATGAAGCATTGAAAGCACGCTCTTTCTCATACTCTCTGGAATAACAACTCGAGATTCCCAGACAATACAGTTCTGGTCTACTGACAACTCGTTTCGACGTGTGTAAAACGGTTTCAGCTCGACATCAACAGGGGGTTTCTCGTTCCAGCCGTCTTTAACAAACTGTAACACTCGACCAAGTGTCTTGTCTCTTCTTGTGTGACTAGCTATTAACTCAGCGTCAATCAAAGGTTTGTCATCACCGAAGTAGTGCACGCTGAAAACAGTATCTAGAGGTTTCATTTCAAACTCCTCTGTTAACTCGTCATCAAACTCTCTCGTCTCTGCCGATGTGTCTAAAGGCAGTGGAAAACGGGAACATAGATCAGCATTACAATGTTTACCAGTGGGTCGAAACTAGATCTTGTAAGTGTAACCGCTAAGGAACAATGACCATCGTTGTAAACGACCTGCCACCATGCTAGGAATTCCACGACAAGGGTGAAAGATAGATTCCAGCGGCTTGTGGTCTGTAACTAGGGTAAACGGTCGTCCAAAAAGATAACGGTGCAGTCTCTTAGTCGCCCAAACTATTGCCAATGCTTCTTTTTCTATCATGGAATAGTTTCTCTCAGATTTCGTCAGTGTTCGAGATATATACTCGATCGGTCGCTCTGTCCCATTTTCATCAATATGTGACATAACAGCTCCTAAACCAACGGATGAAGCGTCCGTGTCAAGCTTTAACTCCAGCTCAGGGTTGTAAACTGTTAGAACCAAGTCAGACGATAACAGCGCTTTTAACTCATCAAAAGCTCTCTTTTCTCTATCTCCAAAGTGGAAAATACTGTCAGCGGGTCTTAAACGGTTAAGTGGTTCAACAACTGTTGACATGTTGGGAATAAAACGTGAATAGTACTGTGCACCACCAAGAAATGATATCATCTCCGCTCTAGTAGTAGGATACGGTGCTCTCACTATCGTTTCAACTTTCGAACTCAGCGGTCTTATCCCGTCAGCAGATACTTCATGGCCAAGAAATGTCACCTTAGGCTCCATGAAAACACACTTGTCTAGCCGGCATTTGTAGCCTTCATTCTCTAGTGCTGTAATCACCGTTCTCACGTTCTTCATGTGACTCTCATCATCAGGTCCTGTTATTAGAATGTCGTCAACACGCCATGCCGTGTTCTCTGTCTTTCTCAAGGTATCATCAATCTTGCGTTCAAATATCGGTCCGGCAGATGAAATACCGAATGGTAGAGAAGTAGGACTGAACAATCCTTTGTGTGTGTTCAAAGTCACAATCTTTTGGTCACATTCTCTCAACTTCAAACTATTATAAGCGGCTCTGATATCCAGCTTAGTAAACAGTTTACCTCCGACAATCTTACTCAAGCAATCTTCTATTGTAGGAAGTGGGTAAATAGCTGTGTCAAGATTAGGATTTACAGTAGTCTTGTAGTCACCACATATGCGAATCGTACCATCCGCTTTCATGACAGGAACTATGGGTGAAGCCCAGTCTGAGTGCTCTGTTGGAATCAGCTGTCCATTCTTCACTAACTCGTCTATGGCTTTCCCAACCTTGTCTACGATGGCAAATGGGACCTGCCTTGCCTTGCAAAACTTTGCTCTCGCATCAGGCTTAAATTGTAGACAAGCTTCGAATCCTTTAACAGTTCCAACACCAGGATCGAACACAGGACTGCGGAGTATCTCACTAACAAATTCATCTCTCTGAAGCTTGGAGACAGCGTAAGATTGCTCAACATCAACAAGTCCTATCATATGATCCAACCAGTCTTTACCAAACATCTGGATGATCCACTCTCGACCTAGGAGTGTGGGAAACCGACAATCGACAACATATAGTGGTAAAATCCATTTCTTGCCTCTAAATTCAACGTTTACAAGGGCCTTGCAGTCAATGCTTTCACAATTAAAATTAGCTACTTGCAATTTCTGGGAACATGGAACAATCTGGCAATCAGTTAGTCCTAGTCTAGCAAAATCAGACTTACTTATACAGCTTAAAGATGAACCAGTATCTAACTCCATTTTCAAAATCTTATCATTAATCTTAACTTTAAGAAATGGTTTCTGATTACAATCAATACAACTGGATAAATTACTAACAACTGATGCAGGTAGAGTATCATCGGGAACAGGAGTCTGTACTGGAACCTGGACAGGATCAGCCGTCTCCACGCAGTACAACGTGTTCTCCGACTTTCGATGTGTGTACCCATAATCAGCAGCGCAAGCATTGCCATCATCATGATCACCAATCCCTTCAACACAATGGGATTGCTTCTTAGCAGAACGACAGTTCTTTGCGATATGTCCGGGTTTGCGACAGTTTCTGCAACGAACTTTGCAGTTTTTCGCAACATGACCACGAACAGTACAACGTGAACAAACAATGCTAAGGTCGGCCTTCTGATGGAACTAAGAGTTTTGAGGTTTTTGAAACTTCCCGGGTTTTTGAACATAGTGTGTTGTGACTGACATTGAACTTTGCAGAGCGTTCTCCTTCGTCTGAGCTTTATCAAACAGGCTGGCAGACGTGTCGTTGGTAGCAGATTCTGATATGAGTTCAGCACGTATCCTATCAGAGGATAGTCCAGCCACAAAACGTGTACGCACCATTAAATCAAACAAATCACCGAACTGACAAACATTAGCAGCTTCCTTCAATCGTGACATAAAAGTACTGTATAAGGATTCACCAGCAATCTGATTTAAAGTCATAAACTTCTGCTGTTGAGCTACAATATTCGTTTTGGGTGATAACCGATCAACAAGAGTTTTTCTCAGGGTAGCGTAGTCAGTGTCTTTAATTTCATCTGGAAATGTAAATGCAGTTTGTCCCAACTTCCTTCAGTAACATAGACAAGTAGCTTTGTCTTGGTCGGCCTTGCTGTGCTCTACCGTGCGTAGGTTCCCATAAAGCCATAAGACTAAATCACTGGCAAGCAGCTCAGGATGTTGGATGCAGTATCCCGCCATTTTTAATCTCCTACTTCGTAACTTGTTTGACACTTGACAGCCTTGGTAGGCTACCATACAAAATTATATTGCTGACCTTGTCCTTTCATGAGATACCCAGCATCATACGCAACATCTTTGTGTATGTAACGTCCAAACTTTTCTCTTGAGCCTTTGTCAGTGTCCAGGTTTCTGATCCGTAGAGCAGTACTGATTCACAAGCCGCTATGAACAATCTAATCTTGAGGCTCTTTGAGAGTTTGGATTTCCAGATATTCTTCAGTCTATGTAGGGCACCCCACGCTATTCCCTACTATACAGCTGTAAAGATTGAATAACTCTCTCATTACTCAAAAAACTAAAGAAGACCTGGCAATAATCTTTTTAAAGAGTCAAAGATACTTTGTTTTTCACGCCCCATATCGTTCGGACTGCGGAGATTATAATTGGAATGATTAATGTAGCCCTCACCTTTCCATTTTTGACTGTTAAGTCACATACAAACCTGGCTTGAATAGCGATGATTTAGGTGGTACCCTACTATCTAATTCATAAGATGCATTTTTTCTCTTATTAAGTCGAGTATGTTTAATTAATACCATCTTCATCTCAGGAAGAAAACCTGAAAGTGTTGAACTGAAACACGACTCTATATCCATCAAATCCTACCCAACTAATAGTGGTTTCTGCTCAAGCACTGATTCATTCTCGTTGAAGTGCACATACACAACTACTGCTGGTTATTATTATAGTTATTTATAAACTTCTTAATTCTTGATAGGTACAGTATTGTATACTCAGATATTATTTCATATTTAGCATTGTATGCTTTTTTCTCAATTACCTTAGTATCTATATCATTAAACCACACAAGACTATACAAGTGGAGGAAAATATGAATGTATCGGAAAAAACATTGTGGCAAACAACAAGGAGGTAACAACTACCGAGCTTATAGATGTTTATGTGTCTCAAACTGTGGAAGTATCTATGACTCCATCCAGGTTAGGAATCAAATTAAATTGATACTGAAGGCAAGGATGAACTTTCCGATTTGATTATCAATAGTTCGAACTTATTGCAAATCTTTGGTTCTTACCGATGGCGAAACTGTTCATTGTCTAACTATAAAACGTTCAGTGAATCTGAAGTTCCTACCGGTATTGGCTTTACTATAACTTGTCACGTTGAAGGAGGAGGTCAACCCCACAAAGTAACTCTGACTACACCAGACAGTACAGTGTTAACTTGGCTGGGAGATTCTAGGTATGGAAACTATTTTGCATCCAGGAGAGGGTTTAGGACATACGTGGTTTATTGTTATAAAAATGGTCATTTGCAATAGATTTTCCACATTCTTAGCACTCTTTTTCAGCTCCGGAGGTACATTAACTTGTATTGGAACCTTTGAATTGACATGTAAACATACAATATCGAGTCCCACATACACTGATGAGGGTAAGACTTCTTATTTATGTCTTCAAGTTAATAATTACTGTATAGTTATACCATCATGACTGATGAACCAGGGAAAAATCATTTTGATCCATACTTGATCCAGTTTTACACTCCTTTAACTCCTTTACCAAAACTTTTTAAATAATAAAATAAATTTCAATCACGATTTTTGGTTCGATAATGTGTTTCAATGTGTATTCATTGGAACCGCATCATTTTGTGGTCTTACATGCGAATGTCGACGACAGAGCTTCCTAGGTACTGCTGAGAATAATCGTGATAATGCAACACTAGCACCCTGAGCACTGTTCACGTTATGTCATCATTGAAACAACGTACATCAGAAGACTTCTGATGTACGTTCAGAAGTTTATCAGTTGCTAATAATTTCTTGCGTCTCACTCATGTACCCTATTTTTAATACTTGTTATTTTCAGGAGATTATAGATGTGACGGTTACAATAGACTTCCTGGTCAGACCACCGACAAAACCAAATCTGCGACTGTGTCATTAGTTCCTATTAATAATGTCGATGTTACCTTGACAAAAAGCACAACAGAGGTTGCCTTCGGAGCCTCTTTTCTTATAACGTGTGTGGCTGATGGTGGACGAATTCCATTCTATCTGAAATTGGATCTTAGACGCCCTGACAGTTCAGTCGTTAACGATATCGTCCTTTATAACAAGTCATCACAATCACCAGCCTCAGTTACAGTGAGTGAAGAGCTCAACACATTGACTTATATCCACTCTGTAACAAGCTCCAGCTACGATCATGATGGTACTTACAAATGTCTGTCCAAGAACAGAGCTGCTTCTAATAACGAACAAAACGATGAGAAATCCGAAAACATCATAGTGGGTTAGTGCGGTAAAATTGGTTCATATATATTTCTCTAAGTTAATATCCTTATCATCTACGTCTTCACTCTTCATGAAAATGGTATCCATTCATTTGGAATATGCTATATAATATGTATAAATTGTATGCGTTAACAGTAACAATAAGACACAGATTAGCAACTACAATTATGACATCTTAATTTGAGGAAACAGGTACTTTGTTGGAGAACAGTCTCCATAGAAACATGGCTCTTTCAGTGAAAGATGTTACAAGTTCGATATCAGATCTTGGTATAGTGAACAAAGGTTCACAGTTACAGATCACTTGCTTTGCTGAAGGAAATCGACGTCCTCATGAAGTAGCTCTGAAGAAAAGTAATCTATCTGTGATCACCTGGGCTTCTCCAGCCTCTGATTGCACTGTTCTTCCGAAGTCGTACTACGAATTTGTATGTGTCTATAATATGGGCATTATTGGTACGTTATTTTATGAATACATTCGTCGCACATTATATTTTCTTAGAGATGAAACTGCTAAATTAATTTTCCAACTATAAGCAGAAGAAAAGCTTTGATATTAGGTTATCCTTATGATATGCTTTTAGATTATTCCGATGGTGGAATATATATGTGCGTGGGTAAAAATAAAGCACTTGGAAACAAAGAAGTAAGCAGCAGTGTCAGTGCTACCGCAAAAATATCACAATCTGTGCTAACAGTACTCAACCCGAACAGGTACTAATCAATAATATTACATCTTGGTTTGTTTCATCCATTCAAGCTGTCTTGTTCTTTTCAATTTGTCTTTTCCATTCAGACGATTTGGTGATATTGTTATCCCAATCCTCGAAATTGCAGTAAATGTTTAGTTTTTACTTTTGTTATAGATGAATATCTAATGTTTCAAATGCACAGCGAAACGGAATTGTCGTGGGGTAGTGATCCACTATCAATCACTTGTTACATCGAAGGTGGTCTTCAACCTCACAAAGCTACCCTTGAAATTCCTGGTGGCACTACTATAACTTGGACGCGTGATTCTTCGTGAGTTCACACAGTTTATTAATACTTATAATGAAGTCTTTAAGAAAATCAAACGACCAGACCTAAGACCTATCTCTTTAATATTTTTCTATTAGAGATACAGCTAATTCTTCAAATTTTATTGTATTTTCTGTATTTTGGTGAAGATAGTATTTATCTCAATGATTGCATGATTTTAATAATTTTAAATCATCGTGATGATTTAATAACCCCCAGGAGTTCTACGAATAATTTTAATTGCAATGGTGATCATGAAGTAACATGTGTTCATGAAATAACGTCTGACTCTTTCGACAATACCGGTAATATATTTGCATTATGAGTGAATTTGTGGTCAATCAAAATTGTTTAGGAAGCGATCAGTTCTGATGATATTGCTCTTTTAAAAAATTGTTTATTCCTCATGTTATTTTTTATTGTTTGTTAAATGATTCCTTTGATAGGGAAGTACAACTGTACGGGATTCAACATGCTCCCAGAGTCTTCAGCAGTGAAAGAAACGAAGGAGAGCGTGGAAGTAATAGTTGTGAAAGATGTTGAAGCAACACTTACTTCAAGTTCTACTTCTGATGAAGTTGATTTTGGATCTGAGCTAACTCTGACTTGCAAAGTTGAAGGTGGAAGAACTCCATTCTTCCTGTTGGTCGAATTTGATGATGGTAGTAATGTCGTTAAAACAATAATTAAATATGAGGACACGGATCAATCAAATACGGATCAATCAAACAAGGTTACCCGTGAGAAGAATTCCCTTGAATATGTTCATACGATTGGCAAAGTGGTATATGAGAACAATGGCTCATACAAGTGTACAGGGAAGAATAAAGCTTTTAAGAACGAGGAAAAGACGAATAAGAGTATCAAAAATGCTGTCGTTGGTAAGCAGGCAGCCTGGCAAATAAAAGTAGTGTCAAATCAGATGCACATTTTCAAATACTCGTGATCGTAGCTTTATTAGTGTTATGCAGCGGGAACAATCATTGCATTTTTGTTTTTCTAACCTTGTGGATCTGATTTTGTCTAATATACAATTACATCTATTCGATTGCTGGTTTTTTGAAAATATCAATAATGTTCTGTAATTACATAAACAATTGGATCATATTATTAGTGTGATTTAAAATATATTTATTCATCAAATAAAATCACCTACATTAATGATCTGGAGGGGGGTTGTTTAAAATTGAATCCTGATGTTAATGATGATTTCCATTGCATGATGATTATTCCTGGACACATATTAATAAGTTTTCTCTGTGTTGATGCTAAAAACGGTGTCTTGGAACTTATCCCTCATATATACATACTACATAGTGTATAATTTGTCTGCAATTGATATATTTAAATTGAGGGACTTTAATTTTGACCGAATTATTATCTTCAACAATGTACCATCCTGATTATATTATATATTTGTATAATACTGAACAGTTAATTATAATTTTCTGTACCACTGATTTGCCATTTATCCTATTTTCAAGGTTATTTTGATCTTGGTCTTTTAACTCAAAAATATGATAAATAAAACCATTTTTGCAGTTCTATAACCATTTTTGCAGTTCTATAACGATATGATACCACTGTAAGGTTAATATTACCCATGAATATTTTTATACTGAATAAAAATTCCTTCATTAGTATTTTTAAAACATTTAAAATTGAATAAAAATGTTTTCAGTCAAAGACGTGGAAATTGCACAGATAAACGATTTTGACACCGATTTTGGATCCTCCTTCACTTTTGACTTCACACTTAATGGTGGTCGACCTCCACATCTAGTATCATTGAAAAAAGGAAACCAAGTGATTCTCGATATAAGCATGTGTACTGGGACCAATGAAATGACATGTTCTAGTACAATTGGAGACAGTGATGTGGATTTTGAATTTGATGGAGCCTACACTGTGACTGCAGAAAACCGAGCAAAAAACGATGCTTTGAAAACTACTACATTAAACTTCACTGTAACAGTTTATAAAGAAGTAACATCTACTATCAGCCCAAGTAAATTGACATGAAACTTTAATTCGGGTCCTTTATTTAAGCGAAGAAAATGTTAATGGTTAACTAATTTTTATAATTTTTTGCTTGGGATTGTAAACATCACCATCTAATTTTGATTGATTAAGTCAAATACCGAACCCATGAGTTGTAATTTTTGTAGGTTTGGACAGTAAAATCGCATACAACGAAGACATAACCATCAAATGTGAAGTTGTAGGTGGTCTGCCACCTCACCAAGTCGATTTGATTCTTCCGAATCAAGGTGAGCTTATTTGACGTGACTTAATAGGATAGCTCTAAATTGAAATTTCTGTTGAAATTTTTGCATTGCCATCATAATAAAAAATCAATATTTCATGATAACACGTCCGTTTTCAGACTCTATGACATGGACGAAAAATGGGTCAGTGACCGATCTTACATGTTCTGGAGAACATATTGTAACATGTAAATATACTTTGATACCTGACTACGACTCAGACGGCGAATATAAGTGTAAGGGATACAATAAAGTCCGAAGTGTCAAAAAAGAGATGGAGTCATCAGCGGTAACATTGATTACTGGTATGGAATTTACTTTCATAAACTTTTTAATCAAGATTATACAGAATTTTAGTGATAATACAAAACCTCTTCAGTTCAATTTTTTTGAACATGTTACATTCTTTTTTTTTAATCTGAATAGTTTAATAGATAGAAAATTATTGAATGTTCGAAATTTTTCAGTGAGAAAAACACAGGTGAATGTCCCTGAAAAACCAATATCGGTTCTCACTAATGGGGAGATAAAAATAGATTGCATCATTGTGGGGAAGCCCTTGGTCGATAAGTCCTCTGTTACCTGGACACATAGTACAGATTTGGATTTGAGCGAATTTGTGGATACTGTAAAGGGAAATCAAGATGATTTTACACTGAATTCAACGCTAACCATGATAAACCCCTTAACAACGTACACTGGCACCTTTAACTGCAATGTTGCAGATGGGGAAATAACTATATCAGGATCTGTGGAAGTGTTTATAGCTAGTGAGTGTGTTAAGTACCTCCATATTCTGAGTTTTAGGTCAAAAAGTCAAAATATCTGATTTTTTATTCCAGTTCCTTTAACAACGTCGTACTCCTTTCGTAGAAGTGGCATTGATTTTTCCAAGATATGGAAAGACTAAACATAAAAGCTCAGTTCATATAATTGATTAATATGTTTATAATTTTTCAAATAAATTTAGTATAAGTTATTAGGAAACAGGATACTCTGATGATATTGACTTTAATAACACTGAACTTGCTCCACTCAAAGAAATGCTTCCTATCGCTAAAGATATATTCCAGCAGTGGGACCTTCATATCAATTCTTCCAAGACTGAATTTGTCCATTTTTATTTAGCAGATCCTAAACCCACTGTTAAACGCAAGGTGATTGTTGAAAAAGTGTATAGAGGTGATGAAGAGTGGCGCTCTAACAAAACTTTAGGATCGTTGATGTGCACTGTTAAGGATATCAAGAATCGAATATTCCTTGGTAATGTTGCCTTTAGTAAATTTCAGAAAGTTTGGATGAAGAGCAAGATTTCAGTCCAAAGGAAGATCAAAATCTACGAGGCACAAGTAGTCTCTATTCTACTCTACAACTGCAACTCCTGGGCTGCACCACTAGCTTCGTTGAATGAACTTGATATTGCTCATCGCAAACACCTCCGAAGAATCCTCAACATCAGATGGCCTACTGGGGTTATTTCTGATGAGGCACTCTATGCTCGTTGTTATGTCACTCCCTTGTCTGTGAGAGTCTCTAAGTTTCGATGGAGAATGTTAGGACATATCTTAAGAGGACAGGAAGACTCACCAGCATACACCTCTATGTTATTTGCTATAAATTCTGATATTTTTATGGAAGGGAGACGGGGTAGACCATGTTTAAACTTATTGGATGTTATTAGAAAAGACTTGACTAGTAGAAATCTTGATATTAGACTTAAGAATTTGACTGATTTCGAAGACCTTAGATTTTTAGCTTTAGATAGGGAGGAGTGGAAGAAGTTAGAAGATGGTTGATGTTTTTTGTTTTCTTTTTTATGCGTTTTGATATCTATAAGGTGCCTAGGATGCTCTTTTAAAGAGATATTTCGTACTTTGAAAGATTTACTACTACTATTAGGTGTATCTAAACCTATTCTTATCGAATTTCTCTCTGCAGACAAAGTATACTTAGAATCTCCAATTGTAAGTCATACTGGTGGGGAGTTCAGTGAAGAGGGTTCGCAGATAACCGTCACTTGTCGCGTCGAAGGTATCTATATTATAACTTGATTCTTTTTAAATGTTGATGAATTTAAAGTTTTGATTAATCACCCTACGCGCGTGGGGTGGACTCTTGGGGTGGACTTTTATTCAGCGCGTATTTTGTAGCCTGTTCAACTTGACGTTTTGAATCGTTACTATCTCAATGTCACAGATACACAGAATGTGAGGTGATCATCTTAAAGAGAAACGTCTCAGCTTTCACCTGGTGTAAAGTTTATCTTTGTTCTCAAAATATAGCTCGCTCAGTGTGCAACAGAAGTTGACATTACAATAACCACGTCTGCGACCGGTCGTCAGATACCAGAGTCTTGCACAAAATTGGGTCCCTAAATTAAAATTTTATGACACAGTTACGATGAACTAGTGTCTAGGGAAACATTTGGTGAAAATTTGAAGGGTCTACTGTTAATATTGCAAAAGTTATTGAAAACAAACTAGCTTAGTCAGAAGTTTTTGGGAAAATTTCAAATTTTGTACGTAGTGGGGTCTACTGGGGTGGACTCTCGTGACGCGCATCTGATGGCGTGGCTTTTTCAACAGCAGTCAGTACGGCCAATATCAGAGCACAAATTATTGTGAGTAAGACCTTAATGGTCAGCTATGAACCCCTCACTAGAATAGTAACCGTATCTAAAAACAAGGAAATGTTATTCCGTCAAAGCTCAAATTTTTTACTCTTCTCAGTGCAGTTACTATGAATGTACTAGCTAAGTATCGTTGATCGTAGCTGTACTACACAGTAGAACTAGAAAGTAAACAAGGAAGATGGCTGATTAACGAAGCAATTTCAACGTGAACAGTTCCAAAATACATTATCATGGCGACGATAGTTCAACTTGAACCTTTAGTTTTTACAGTCTTAAATCGCAATAAAATCATGTTAACCGCAAATCACAAAATCAAATCACTCAGATCTGATACAGTCCCATTACAGTACGCTTTCGTGACAACCTCAACGCTTATAAAATAAATATTCTCCAGTCTTGTGACCACCGATGGCCCTAACTCTCCCTTGTCCGCGAGGAGCATCGTTGCGACCATGGGGTTTCAGTTCTTTGTTCTTCCCACTCGGCTTCGATAGATCGAATTGGCTGGAAGTCAATCTATCAGAAAGACCTTTGTCGATCTCAGGGGCGTGGTAAATTGTGGATGTCGGAGTATAAAGCTTCCTGAAAAGATTGAGACATTCACTCGGTATGTTGTAAATATCAAATAGTCCTTGTAGGCAGAGATTTAATTTATGTTGGGTTTGATAACTAGAGAAGGCGATTTGATATTCATTGATAGTATAAGCATAAGTGATAAGTTTATATATCCTTTTTATGGTACCTCGATATCAGTATTTAGTAATCACCACTCAAAATCTACTTATCAAATTTATTAACTAAACAAGTTAATGTATTACCTTCCTAGAGAGGTTTTCCTGAGAATTTGAAGTCTCTGTAGGTTGCTGACATGTCTACTAAGCTCTTCGATTGAGGAGTTTTGGACCCCGCGGCGGTCCAAATGATTTATAATGCTGTGGGCATTTTCAACATCTATCGAGCTAAACGCCCTGGCAGCATAACCTGTAGAGAATGAACATGTCATCAATGCGAAGTTCAATGATAAAAATCAGAGTGGCCTATTTCAACGGACAGAATTCTAATATCATGGCCATGGGGAATGGACTATTTTTTGTCGATTTTGCTAACCAAACTGGCAAACGATTGTTGATTTTCGTCACTAGTCTAAAATGAATGCAAACGTTTTCATGATTAAAAATTTACCGGTTTCTTTCGTTATTATGTACAGACATAGCCGGGCTTGGGTTCCGCATACGATATCTTCTATCAGATTAAAGTTGAACCCACACTTTGTACTGCTCGTGGGAGGAGGAAAGCAAACTGAGACCTTTTCCATGAGCATCTCGTGTAGTACCATCATCATGTCGATTCTGATATCAGCTGCAAAATTCGTCTATTACTAAATGCTAGCTTTTCGAACTTCGTATCTTGGAAATAACAACTTCTATGAAAATTGTCGGATTTGATAAGACTGTTCTAATCTTGTCTTAAAAATTGCAGGTCTAAAAAAACATTATAAGAATATGACGCGGGACGAAAATCTTTAAAAATAGCTGTCAATATTGGGCTAACCTGTGATACCCCGAGCGTCGTGAGCAGTTAACCACTTGTTTACAGCATTGCAAAACTGGTGCTCCGGCGGGTACCCACTCTCCTTCAACTCTTCTGCAACCTGACGAAATTATTTGTTTAGTAAATCAAAATTATTAACATCCTTAAATTCATAGATGAAAAAAATCGTGCTGAAGACTTCAGTGCATGCTCCAAATAACCTATTTTAATCAATAGTCAGGGTTTTAAGTATATTTAAACTAACCAGTCTACAAAAATCGACTTCAATTTCAACTTACAGATGCACTAAAGAAAGTCAAGGTCTGGGTCATTGACATCTGGTCTGCACCAGAAGAATCTACAATCACAGTGGTGAGGTTGGTCTTCGGCTTGTTCTCGGGAGTAGTTTTTTTAGCAACCGTTCTCCACGCTTCAGGATCCACTCCCGGTATTGCGCCAGCTACCACCATCCTGCGTAGCCGAGACCCTATGTGGGTATAATCTACTTCGGCTGCGATCCATTTACCAGATGGGAGAGAATCAGGAAGATAAACGATTTCTTCCTTTTGGAAGAAATGGCTGAAGGCTGGGTCGTCAAGAAACGGATGCTTCGTCACCCAAGCTTCATACTCAGCTGAGTATTTTGAGTAACACCATGCTGCCTGAAAGATGAATCACATGAATTTCCAGCGAGGACTTCCTGCTGGTCTGTGGTCTGTTACGGAAGAGATTCAATCTTGAAGATGGAAAAATTTATTTGAAATCCTTGTCATTTCATTATTCCGAACAGAGTCTTAAAATCAAAATGCCAAAAATCATTTGAAAACCGTAAAACCTCCGTACCCGTAAGTCTTCCAGCCGAATCTTTCCTGCTTTGACATGAGGATTTAGCCGAAAGCGCTGAGCACGATCCGTTCCTTCAATAGAGAGAGTGATGCCACATTTTGTAACTAATTCTTGCTCCGCAGTATTAAGAGACCAGTCTGAATTAGTTAACTGGCATAAATTTGAGTATTTCACGACTTGCTCCTTTTTAAATGGGCGAAATTACACAGTAAAACTGACCGATTTTTGCCTCACCACGGAAGATAATTCTTGAGAAATCCTATACATTGAACATGAAATCGCTATGATTGTTCCTTACCTCTATCTTTATTCAGCAGTGTGTTGAGGTAATCACAAAGGTAATTTCTTAACTCTGTTTTCCTTGTAAGTTCCTTCGCTTTAACCCACAACTGCCGTCTCAATTCAAAAACTGATAAGGCCTCTCCGGTTGTCGCTAAATGTTGAAGGATATTACAATGTGGGATTATGGTTACAGGTTAAATCATAAATGGCTTGAATCAGTTCTTAGGAGTTCAGTAAACAGGCCGTCCCAATTGAACTCGGAGGGGACCTCAAGTCTTAACAAATGACGGTTAATGTATTATTATCATACTAAAATAAAAATAACATACTAAGTTAGAAAATTGAGTCTAATTGATTGATTTAAGTTTCAAAACTCACACTTGAAGCATATCTCTCGTGTCTTTGCATCGAAAGATCTAGATGTCAAGTTGAAACGACTATCCAGCTCATCCATCATGTTATTTGTGATAGCCCTGTCAGTCTCAACCGTCATCTTTGATGATGTAGGTAGATATGCAACTGCAAGCAAGGATGATAAGTTTTCATACTTTAATAAGAGCCAATAATTGAATATCGATTACAATTCTATGCGGTTGGTTAATGATTAATTCCCTTAATTAATGGCACTAGATCAATGATCACTAAATTAACAGCACAATTCGAAGGACTTGGTGTTATACTTAGCGTTACACTTATAAAGATTATTGAAGTACTTACTGACGAAATAGGGTGTCTTAAATTGATTAGGAGTCCTTGTTAAATCTGATAGCACGTAAAACATAGCTGCGGACGCTTTAGGTGTAGCCTCAGCGTAGATGTCCTCCATAACCTTCTTCAGAGCGGACGTCAGTGTCTTCATTTCACTACCTAAGGTTCAGTGTGCAATGTTGAGAAATTCTTGCATAAGTTTTGTATCTTTGGCAAGTTGGCAGTCGAAAGGTGAAAAATTTTGAATACGGCAATAAACCATGCAACGTAGATTTATGGCAGGTCGTCAAAATTCGTAATGTCTGAGCATCGTGAAATATTATTTCTCCATTTAGCAGTTTTAAAAGAGAATCTAAATAGTCAACACATACCAGCGTGAACATTGACACGTTGCAGGACAGAGACACAATGAATACCATTTGCGTGTGCTTGATTGACTGGAGTCGAGGAGAGGACGGAGGGTACGTCAGCGACAAGTCGAAATTTTTTAGCTTCTGCTTTAAACTTCTCGCGGAGATTCCTCACAGCCAAAGGCATTGTCTTTTTAATCTCGAGGTTTCTCTGAAAAAAGTTAACGAGTTAATTTTCTAATTTAAGATCCATTTATTTTGCTGCATAACGTTGTGAGCTGCGGAATAATAAAGTAATAAGCCAATTAGGCCAAGGTATGGACAGCTACTGTTCTAAATAGAACAAATTTGACACATACTTATTCTTTCATATTGTCTATAAATATTGATGTCCACGATGATTTTAAAGTACAACATACTAAATCTTAACTCACTGTGAAATAAAGTTCATGTGCAACATGTAGGAATTCAACAAGTAACTCTTGGTTAATTTCATGAACCCAGATCCTTGAGAAAGAAGGTGTCCACACCATGTGGAGAACTCTACTTAGCTTACCGTCATTATTAAACTGCGAATATTGTAAACCTTGTTTTAAACCTTGCTGTAAAACCTTGTTGTAAACCTTGCTGTAAACCTTGTTGTAAACGTTGTTGTTAATCTTGTTGTAAACCTTGTTGTAAATCTTGTTGTTAACCTATTGTCATATTACATTTTGTTTGGTTGTATTTTAAGTGCTCGCTTATCAGTTATCTATTGCTAAATTGCGATGACGCGTGCCATTTGCATTGTACATTTATTGTACAATACTTTATTGTACAATACTGCCATAAAATGAGTACACTGAAACACTCTCCAGAAGATGTTGAAATGTACAAAGCAACCATCGGAGAACTACTCGAACTAGCTAAAAAACCCAACGTAAAGAAAGTTATTGGTGCTTATAGTTACTTCGTAAATTACCAAGCAAACTTCAAAAAGATCAAAGCTTTCTCTGTGGCTGAATTAAAAGATGCCGTTTTCCTTAAATTTTTTTCTTCTTTTTTTATTTACTCTTTCTTCTTTTTTTTCTTCTTTTTTTTTCTTCTTTTTCAAAATTTTTCTTCTTTCTTTTATTTTTTTCTTCTTTTTTTTATTTTCTTTTTTTTAAATTCACTTCTTTTTTATTTTCTTTTTTTTAATTTACTTTTTTATAAATATTTTCTTTTTTTCCTTAAATTTAAGGTGAGGAATGACGACGATACGAAGATATTTAAGAACAAAGACATCCTTGCTGACAGGATAATCCTGAAGATAGAATCACACTTTGAAGAACAGTGCGACGAATGTGATAAGAAGTACAGTACTTCTGGGAATCTTAACGATCTCGTCATAAAGATGATCACAAAAACAGCACGAGAGCACCCTTACCACGTGCTTCCCATCTTGTTTGCTCTTAAGAACGCACAACTTGACTGCAAATACATCAAGGGCTCGAAGCATCTTCCTAACGATGCACGAACAGTCCAGTGCCAAAGATATCTTGAAAACGCTGATGAAAGAATCAGCTCTAAAGAAAATCATTACTGACATGGACAAATTGACTGACGCTTATGTGGAATGGGCAAATCACAACTTGAAAGAAGACTCTGCATACCGGATGGCGGCTCGAAGTTCGGCTCTCAAAATACCATCAACTTTAAAGATAACAAAGATCAAGGATATCGAAAGGTTTTCCACTTTTAACCCTCGAAATTCCGGCGAGATGTGACGGTAACTACTCCTCCAATCTCCTTTAGTGGTGGGCTTTAACACAGAGTATCAGACCCCGGGAGGTTTCAACCTTCCCAAGGTGACCTTCGCTCTCTGCTCGGACGGTGTCACTTGGAAACAGCTTGTCAAGGGTAACGACGATATGAGACAGGACGCAGTGATGGAGCAAGTGTTTAATGTAGCAAACCAGCTTCTCTCCAAGAACCAGCTGACTGAACATCTCAGTATGAGAACCTACAAGGTGATACCATTGTCCCAAAGATCCGGTTTGGTGGAGTGGTGTGAGAACACCATGCCTATCAGAGTCTATTTAGTGGGCCGGGCAGGATGAGGCTCACCTCAAATATAGACCAAAAGATAGCAAGAGCTCTGATGTTCGAGCTATTTTAAAAGCTTGCAGGGACAAAAGCGAAGGAAGGAGAACAAGGAGCTGCTATTTGCTATAATTGAGGTGTTCATCCACGATCCACTGTTTAACTGGTGTATCAACGACGGGGGTGATGCAACGTCAATTAATGTCAATTAATGTCAATTAATGTCAATTAATGTCAATTAATGTCAATTAATGTCAATGTCAGTTTTGCAAAATTTTGGAATACTGACATTAATTGACACGATATTTTTCGACCAGAGATTATGTAGTTCTACCATATTTTTAGCACTCTAGAACGTTTATATCATCAATTTATTCACTACTATCACATATGGAAATGTGAAATGTGAAACAAATTCAGATCATTAAACAATAAAACTAAAATAATACGGTTTTCCGAAATTTAATTTTCTTAAATGGGCGTGGCCATCCAAGGGCGTGGTTCTCAACATCATCAGAACTTAAAACCCACATTAAACGAAATGCCTTCATGACATTTATTTTTGAATAACGAATCTTAAACAGCTAACATTACTCCTTCATACTAAAAAAGCCGATTCTAGATAATTTACCTGTATAAGAAATCAATAAAATATGGGCGTGGCCGGTGGGGACCGAAGATGGAAGAGTTGGAAGCTGAAATTTTTTTTGGTGGTCTTTGAACCTAAGGATCAACAGATAAGAACATACTCATAATTATTCAAGGACATTTTGTTTTATTGAACCGGTCTAACTTACATAGACGTGAATATCTTGAATATTTATCGAATATCGATAATCTCAAATTTCAAGACAAATTAATGTCAATCAATGTCAATCAATGTCAATTAATGTCAATTAATGTCAATTAATGTCAATTAATGTCAATTAATGTCAATGTCAGTTTGGGGTTTTTATGGAATACTGACATTAATTGACGTTGCATCACCCCCTCAACGACACAACCACCGACACCAAGAAAGAACACGACTCGCCCAAACCTAACGAAGGAAGTCAGGATAATAGTAACAACCAAGCACAGCGAATATTGTAAACCTTGTTGTTAACCTTGTTGAAAACCTTGCTGTAAAACCTTGTTGTAAACCTTGCTGTAAACCTTGTTGTAAACGTTGTTGTTAATCTTGTTGTAAACCTTGTTGTAAATCTTGTTGTTAACCTATTGTCATATTACATTTTGTTTGGTTGTATTTTAAGTTATGTTTAAAAAAAACTGCGAATATTGAATGATGAATTAGTTGGTGGTTAGTCAGAGTCTTGAAAAAAAGGGGCTTAGGCTTAAAAAAAGTTTTATATTGAAACAGAAAACGTATGTTCAGCTTTTCTCGTACCTTCTGATAGCAGGCAAACTGTGAGTACATTTGGGGCAGGTAGTATTCCTTCGGATGCTCGGGAAGGATCTTGGTAGCAGGACATTTTATCTCTACAAGATACTCTGAAATGTAAGAATTCGATAAAAGATAAGAAGGTATACGTGCCTTGCTCGCACTCAATTATTGAACTGTAAAAGGCGTCAGAGTATCACAGTATCATTTTGTTATGATAGATACCTACCAATTTCCAGGGTCTCCTCATCCCGGACTAAGCTTCCATCTCCAGAGGATGACAGGGTCGGGCTCCCATCACTGGTTAACTTTGATAAACCTGGCAAATACGTTAAATCATAAATAATGGAACATTCAACAACCAGAGATACTAATTGTGGAAGTTGACAGGCCAATGTTATCAATTCAACAGCACGGTGTACGGCGTACGCTTGATACCCCGGCTTTAATTTAAGAAGTTTGAAAACCCATGTTGTAGGATAAAGGTACCAAAATACGCAATCGTGAGCAATGTGAGAGAAATGTGACGTGAACTAGTGAAGTTTACCTTCTTCTACATATACGAGATCAGCAAACTCTGGTATTATCGGCAAAACGTTGCTGACTAAAGTTGCCACAGCATGCGGCTCTGAATCAGTACCGTACCGCATATTCTCAATTGCCTGGAAATATTAACTTATAAAAAGAAATGCTGTCGAAAATTGGATTAGCAATTGAAGACTACGATCTAAAACTGGAATGTTTTTTTCTGAGATTCAAGGCTACACATTTTATCGAGATTTCGTCGAGGTTGGTGCAGAAAAAAAAATAAACCTCATCATCTAAGGGTCCAGCAGGAATATCATCCGCTTCGGCATCAGCCTCGTCATGAACAGGATTATCGTGCTCTTCATTGACAACGCGACGTCTAGAATTTGCCTGCACAATTCAGATCTGTGAATATGACTGACTACCTACTGTTACTGTTAATGTTATCTCGTCATCCGATTAACTTTCAAAATTTTGACGGTTCTGAATTAAAATTGTACAATTTACTGTAAAAGTGGTTATGATAAAACATTTCTTGCTCACCAAATTCCACAACTGTTGTTGAATTTCACGAGCCCTCGAGACAGAAAAGTATCCTAGTCCTGCAGCAAGATCAGATGAAGAGATAGAGCCGTCAGCCCTTGCAGTAAACCATGCCTCTGTACGCTGTTTCGTGTACCGATGTTCTTGGACACCAGACTGGACTTCCGGCAAGGAAAGAAATCTCGAAGAACCATACACCGCAGCAACAATTGCAGATAATAGGTCTGCTAAGCGTTGTAACACTCCTAGGAGAGGGTCTATTAATCATAAATTGTTAAGATACGAGATGGCGAATAATTACCTGTTACCATACCTCAAAAATATTTTTGACACAAGTTATGTTCTTGGGCCTTGGCGAAGAAAGACTCATGCCCGAGCAACAACAATTTTACCTTGTACGCTGTCTATCTTTCTGCGTAGTCTCACTAACAGATACTCAAACTTTCCGAGGTTATTGTCTCCTCGACTACTATCAACAGCGAACCCTCTAGCTTTCTTGATCTAAACATGATAAAGGCAATGTTGTACGATGTTGAACAATGTTAACGATTCCAGTCAGTCGAAAATTAGAAATTAGGTGAAACGGTATTTTGACCGAACAAAGCCCAGAAAAATGTTATACTTTTTCATATTGCCTTCTAGAGGGTTGAAATTAATCCCGTAACTAGTAATTTTTACAGGGTATTGATGTGTAAAATTAACCTTAGATGCAAGAGTAAGCTCGTACTTTTTATCCGAACTTATCAGTGCTGTAACCCGCTTCAGGTATGTCGGTAGTTTTGTGAAAAGGTCTGAAAATAAGTATCGCTAATGAAATTGCCGCTGGCCGAATAAATAAACGATATGAATTTGCGATAATTTCATTCGATTACATGCATAACTTTCCGATATTAACTTTTTTAATTATCGATATCGATTTCCTGGTAAATGTGCTCTCGACTTGAGATTACGCACCTGGTTATGCAATAATAATTTCATGATGATAATCACAAACCTAGAACATGGGATTGTACTAAGGGGTAGTTGGTGCAGTTTTCAACCAGCTCAGCTAACATAGCATCTACTTCGCAATGGAACATCTCAAATTTCCTCTCTGCCTCTTCAATACTTGTCCCAGGATATACGGGTCTTCCCACCCCTTGATCAAACATTTGCTTTACCTGAATTGTTTACCTTAATAAGGTATGATAGTTTTAACTTTTAATAAAGGGCAATAGTCAATACCATATCTTGAAGAAAATGTGTCCGTGCGATTATAGAAGGCAGCCAATTCTCATTTAATTCATTCTAGTTTCCATAGTTATTTGATTATGTCCCAAGAATATGAATATGATGAAATGTGCCTAGGTTACACTCAGATTATATTATTAGAATTAGACCCACTAGTATCACATAATATGTGTCTCATTGTATCACTAACTAGTAACTATGATTTAGGCGAAATCTTAAAACTTACACTTCGCTCATCGTGGCTCAAATTCACCGGTCTGCCCTTAAACGTTTCCGCAGCAAGATCCAACATGAAGCTGCTCAGTCCTGGAGCAGTTTGGTCCTCAATCTGAGTTTCCTCTCGTATGACAGATTTCAGGGCAGGGACTCCCAAGACGTGGAACAAGTTGTTCTGCCCCAAGCAGTATCTCTGGTACTGTTCCCCAAACAAGTGAACACCCTGACCTGATAAGTGATAAGTAAGGTGGCGTTTAACATTTTGTAAAAAATGACCGTTCTCCTTCGATAAACTGAACAATGGTTGCAAATAAAATTGAAATTGTTCAGTTTCATGAATTTAATTCAAAATATATATCTTGAAAATTACCAAAGTAGATAGAGCAGTCTCTGTGAGGTTTGATTGGTTTCTGCCGGTTAAGAAGACAGAACTGTTTCTGTGCTGCATCAACAAACGACAGAAATGGTAGGAAGTCTGCTGCCAACGTACCATAACAAACCATCTTCAAAAAATTCTTCAGCCCAATCAACAGCGACGGATCTTTTAGGTGGACATCTTTCATTCCAGCAAGGGCCTCTGCTATTTCTTGTACAACCTTGTCAAAGCCTCCCGTAACAAGGAGATCTGCAAGACGTTTTTAGTGCAGCAAGACGCAGGGTAAAACTTAATGCAGCAACTCATGGGCCCACACCCACGCAGACACAGGGACAGACACACACAGACACACACAGACACACACACACACTCGCACAGATACACACTCTGCACTCACTCACACTCACACACACACAGACACATAGACACATAGACACATAGACACACAGACACACAGACACAGGCACACACAGACAGACACAGGTACAGACAGACACAGTACACACAGACACGGACACACACACACACACACACACACACACACAGACACACACACACACACACTCGCACAGATACACACTCTGCACTCACTCACACACACACAGACACATAGACACATAGACACACAGACACACAGACACAGACACAGACACACACAGACAGACACAGATACAGACAGACACAGATAAAGACAGACATAGACACACAAACAGAGACACACAGACACAGACACACAGGCATAAACACATACACAGACGGACACACAGACGGACACAGATACACAGACAGACAGACAGACACACACACACACAGACAGACAGACACACACACACACACAGACACACACGGACACACAGACAGACACACAGACAGACACAGCCAGACACAGATAAACACAGACAGACACAGTTACACACAGACGGACACACAGAGAGACACAGATACACACAGACAAGGACACACACACACCCACATACAGACATAGCCACACAGACACAGGCACACATGCATAAACACAGACACAGACGGACACACAAACAGACACAGTAACACACAGACACGGACACACACACACACACACACACACCCATAAACACACACAGACACACAGACATAGAAACACACATAGAGACACACAGACACAGACCCAGCAACACACAGACACATAAACACACATAGTTCACTTCAGTACACTACATTACAATTACAGACACACGCAGTACAATCAGAGACACACACACGATTCAAAGACACACAGACAGAAACACACAGAGTACACTTCAGTACAATCACAGACGCAGGCACAAAGACATATACAAGAAGAGCAGATTGAAGTACCTTCATTTGCAGATGTTGATGCATTGATCAGTGGGATATGTTCTTCAGTCTGTAACTGATTATCTGCTAGAACTGTCTCATCTGGATCAACCGGAGGGGTATCTTCCGGCAGGAGTCTGAGTGGGTCTATCGGGACAGCCATGGATCGCTCTCCGTACCTTGCTGAAATAAAGACAAAGGTCAACGACGGATGTCGCATGTCAGTCCTATAACTAAATGTAATGCAAAATAGTGAATAAATAATTTTTACATCTGAACGATTTTATGTCTGTTAATGGCGATTTTTAATCAATGAACTAAAGTTCAGGATTTTACCTTCTGTTAGCACTGACTCTAGCCCCCTCTCCCTACAAAACGACCATATCTCGGGCTGGAGCTTTATACCGTCTTGCCTCAGCAGCCATCTAGCACAGTCGACCTGTCCTGTTAATTATGTGATCATCAAGATACCAAATTTAATCCTTCAATATTCAAATAATTGATTATTAGACAAAACAGAGTTTAGAGCTCGACGTATGCTTCAGGGTTTCACACTGTGCTGTAATCAAACGTATGACTAAAACCTCTTGCTACTATTACCAATGTTAGATAAACCCATATTGTTAAGGCGGTCGAATGATTTACCTGAGTTGATCGCGTCCATGAAAGGGTTAAACTGCGCTCTGTCCAACTTGTTAATGTCCGCTCCAGCAGCCAGCAGTGCCTCCGCCTCCATCACTCTCCCTGCTTTGCATGCCCAGTGAAGCGTAGAGCTCCCCTCTAAGCTCTGTGACGATCCGACGAAGGATCCAGATTCCCTTCTTTTCTTTTGAGCTTGATTCAATTCTTCCTGGAGTATTTGGATTACGATTTTTATACTTCCATGCAGGGCGCGTGAACAATCAGCAATGAATTATCAATTAATCAATCTAGTTTTTGAGTAAAAAGTCCACAGATTGTGATACATTGGATTTAATATTGGAAAAGACATAGCTTACAAAGTGCCTTTTCTTGTGCTTTCTGGAGGACAGGGGTGTCTTAGTCTTGCGTGCCATTACACCATAACTATCTGCTATTTTATAAATTGTTACAGCACGAATAGGCTTTCGTCAAATCATCTATACCATGTATACTATGCTGTATCAAGGAGCAGCTGATCGATCAATGATTTGTGTACCACTCTCATATGTCGTTTTTTGTTGTATTCTGAGGTAAGCAAAAATTATGCCAGATAACAGATGTTATCGAAACGGTAAAGACGCAGTTTGAGACAGTGTGAATAAAATCATACCGGAAACTTGGCTAACTGAACGACGAAAGGCAAACTTCACGTTACGACTTGTGACCAGAAATCCGCTTTCTACAAACAGCAGTCTTTAATTTTTTCATATCAAATGATTATGAATTGTTTTCAATTAGTTATTTAACGTACCTCTACAAAATTCATCAGTGCAGAAATCACACTGAAACTTTCGAGGCTGGTGTACCTCTTTCATATGTCTCACCAATCCTAGGCGGCATGAATTGTTAAATAACGAGATTTTTGCAGGTTATCTAAGCAAATAATTCTCTGCAAATAAGTGCTCAACAGTTGCATTGCTATATTGCCTACGAAAAGCGCCCAAATATCGGAATACCTATAATTGCAAGCAGGAAGAAAGTTATTCTACAATGTACAAAGTAATTATGTTACTAACTATGCCTCTCTGGCAACACTATCGCACACTCCAGGCAAATAAACTCCCGCTTCTCCTGCTTATGTTTCATTCGAGTGTGCTGAATCATGAAAAATTGATGGTAAGATGTAAGAATAAAAATTTGCTATGAATGGAATCTTTAAGTACAAGAGACATTTATCGTGGCAAAATGGCGGCATAATTCAGATTCAGAGGACAGATGATAAAAGTAGATCGTTACTGGAGTATTACCTTTTGCAGGCCGCACTTCGTCCGATACTTCTTAGAACAAGTAGTACAAACAAAATTTGCGTTGTCGGACATAATTTATCTAAAAAATTGGAACATTGTAGTTAATCAGTGTGGTGCTAACAACAGAGAGCGATTTGAACGGTAGGCAATTTCATAAATTTCATTAACTCGACATAAGAATGATTGGAACAGGCTAAAATCTACTATGTGGCATTGATAACTGGCTAAACGATTAAAGTATTGCTAACTATGGATGTTCCAAATGATCTAGGCAGAGCCAGATTGCGTTGTCTTCAGTGACTAAGTTTCACGATGGAAAAATTGACCTTATGTATTTAAAAAACAAAGGGTGCACAGTTCAAGCAATTAATCGATCAGCTGCTCATTTATAAGACTAAGTTAGCAAGTTAACAGAATGACAGCTGTAACAGAAACAGTTCATTGGATAGGGCAGTAGGGGATTATGGCGGAGTGAAATTTATTTAGCAGGGCAAACGAACACAACTGACGGCACTGAGGAAATGAACTGCAAATTTGAGGTTTTCTTTCCTGTTTCCGGTATTTTCACGCCCAATCAGGATTTCCCAGGAGATCGATCAGGCAATCAGGATTTCCCACGAGAATGCTCGAGTCAACGCGCGCACTTGTGTCACGTGACGGCCACGTGACGCTCTAATCGTTGTCACGTGGTACAGAAGGAAGGTTCCTAGAGCGTCGATCCGGACAAGAGGAATTTTCTCACGGTTTATCTTCAATAACTATAGCTATTTTTATAGTAGAGAGTTGAAACTTTTACCAAATGTTTCCCTAGACACTAGTTCATCGTAACTGTGTCATAAAATTTTAATTTAGGGACCCAATTTTGTGCAAGACTCCGGTAACTGACGACCGGTCGCAGACGTGGTTATTGTAATGTCAACTTCTGTTGCACACTGAGCGAGCTATATTTTGAGAACAAAGATAAACTTTACACCAGGTGAAAGCTGAGACGTTTCTCTTTAAGATGATCACCTCACATTCTATGTATCTGTGACATTGAGATAGTAACGATTCAAAACGTCAAGTTGAACAGGCTACAAAATACGCGCTGAATAAAAGTCCACCCCAAGAGTCCACCCCACGCGCGTAGGGTGTTAATACTCCTCACTATTCTATAATAAAGTATGACAAGTTAAATTGTGGCCTCACACTTCACAGATGCATCATATTATATTCCAGGATTTCCCGCTCCGTCAGCAAGTTTAACCTACGAGAAACAGGACGGTACACTGCCTACTATTCATAATCCAGAATCTACTGATCCTATATCTACTACTTTAACGGTTTATTTTCTTTCCAATTTTATTTTTGTTCATTAGAACTGAAAATGTTATGAGTGCCAAGTCTTTTGAAAATTGCAATTTTTTTTTCTTAGCTTCATATATTTGAAATAGGCTAAATTCGATTAAAATATCTTTCTTTAGCTTTCTCGTGGAGTTCTTGTATTGCTGTGGCCCGCACTTGTAATATAGAGAATAAAATTTGCCCCATTATATTCAAATCATTTTCAGGAGTTTGTCTTCAATGTCACAACCACGTGCGATTATGCAAAATATAATTTCTCCTGTAACGCCCAAAATATGATATCTAGTCAATCATGTAAATCATCAACATTGATTAGTGGTCCTACCATTACCGGATGTGAAAGTAAGTCGAGAAACAATTTGTATGATCATATATCCGGATCCCGATGGTACCATGACTAAAGTGCCGCCACAGGGCCGTCATGGTGCCATCGGGATCTGGATTCTGGATGTATGACAATTTTTATTTTTCTGACCAGTGTACACCTACATTAAAGTTCTCTCATCTGCTAATGAAACAGATAACTCTACATTTCTAAATAATTAATATCTGTGAAAGTTTTGTAATTAATAGTTTTATTAATGTTTCAGACCACTCTGCCCCATTTCTTGGAGTTTGGATAGCATCAGGTACTGCACTTATTTTTTTCATTCTACTTGTTGTGTTTGGGATTTATATTCTGCGCTTACGAAATCAGAATAATTCATCTGCTGGAAATGTGGTTTATGTAAATACTGGTGTTTCTAACCTGAAAGGAGGGGAGCTGAAGATGGAAACGAGGGAAGCTGAAGTGATTACCCCGTCTGGACACAACTATGATAATGTTGTTCTCCATGTTACCCCCGAAGAGGCTACTTATGTCAACACAGTTGCTGGAACCTCGCCCACTACTGGTCACGTGTATAATGACGTTGTGATACAAACTGTTGCTGCACCAGATGATACACCATATGATTATGCTCGAAATGAAGACATAATAAGAAACAATATTAAAGAACCTACAATTTATCACAATCATGAGTTAAAGTGAACCAGCTTAAAATGTGTGCTTTTTGAAGAATATGAAAGTGTATAACATAATGCTTCTGATATTATCCCACATGGAAAGTCACTTCTGCGGTGCTGACTGATGCTCTGTCATTACCCTGGCGCTACATTTAGTCTTCTCCACTGTAGTGACAGCGGGATAGTGACAGAAGACTATAACTTGATTGTGCCCATGAGTGCAACCACATTCTGACTTAGGAGAGGAAATATAGGACTCAAAACAAGAAAGTCGGCTGTTAAAAACATGTTTTTAACAAGCTTATTTTCAAAGATATCATAATCGTTATTAATGTATGGATATTGTTTTATGGGATGATTAGAAGCCTTCCCAGTTCCCACAGCCACTGATATACAGCAACAACGCGAACACGGTTAGGACTTGGCTGAATATATTCTTCAATACTGGCTCGATTGGGAGCCTTTAGCCATACATTTCCGTCTTCGATTTTTTAATCTATTTAGACTATCCGATGTTAAGAAAGTTCATATTTTGATTTTTTTAAACTGCTTAATGTTATATTTCAGATTTTCTTACATATTTGATAATTTCTTATTTAAATTTAATTGATAAGCTCAATAATTCTGTATTAGATATGATAAGCCGTTTGATTATTGAATAAATATATGACCAGCTTAGTTTTTATTCTCGTGTTCAATTTACAATAACATTCTTCTTAATTTATCTACAGGGTGTTTCAAGACACGAGTCTTGAAACACTCTGTATTACCAAAGTAATTTGTAATTATTCGATAGTACATAGTCACCCCAGCGCAGAGACTTGGATTTTTGCTAGAACTTGTACACAACTAGCAAGAAGAATTCGAACCATGTGTCTTCTCCGAACGATTACTAATGAAGTACTTTCGCTTTAAATAATTACTCATGTCGATCACAATTCTTTCAGCATTATTATAATCCAAAAATTATCTTGATGCATGTATCACAGACCTGCTAACACTCAAGAAATATCGCAGTATGATTCCGCTGACGTCTCTTCAACTCAATATCCTCGATGAAAGGATTCGAGGTTTCGGGGTTTAAGTGGGTTCACCCTGATTTTCTTGTGAAATTTGAGATAGCAATTGACCAACACACTAGGGCATATTGTGACCGAAGTTTTGAGGGGTTGCAGACTCTGGGTGCTCACCGGTGCCAGCGGGACAGCCACGCCCATATTTGGTCCAAATTATGCCCAATTATGCCAAATCATCTTAACATGCTTAAAACCCAGATTTTATGTGCTCTACTTGTAGCTAGTGGTCTTCTAAACTCTTACATGAATTTTCATCAAGATTAGACAAAAATGACCGAGTTATGATTATTAGCTCAATATTAACCTAACTATGGATTCTGAGTTTAAATAATCGCAAAAAAATGAACAAAATCGCCCATTATATCTCAGTTCACGATATTTCAGTTCAGTAATTACACTTTTCAATACGTTTGTGCTCGCTTATCAGTTACTTATCATTACGTTGATAAGACTTGCTTGTTTAACCGGTGCCGTGGTTGTGTGATGTATAAATCGGAGAAATACGTGGCTTATAAGCTTGATGAAGTGAAAGATGATGCAGCTGAATGGATCCGGAAAACTCTTGGGCTTGCTAAAGCAGATCATGTTAACGCGTGTGCAGTTCAGAGTTTCAGTGGTAAAAGAGAAATCTCCAGGGAAGTCATGGCTCAGAGTCTTAACGCTGCGTTAAAAGTTATGTATAGACAGTCGTTGTACATTGATCGGCTGGAGAAATATAATCAGAAATTGCACTCCGATGTAATTGACAGTCAGGGGACAGTAGTTGTATTGCAGAAAGAGCTACTAGCTGCCAAAGACAAGCAGCTTGATGACTTGAAATCTGTTGTTGTAGCATCAGTCGAGGATACTGTGAAATCAGAGTTGAAGACATACAGCGCCGCAGTACAGGCATCAAAAACCTCAGCAGCAGGTCCTTTGTTGGATTCGGATAGAAAAATTTTTAAGAATGTCATTAAGGATGTTGTAGCAGAAGGAGACCGAAGTCGGAATCTGATGTTATTTGGTCTTAAAGAAGAGAAAGGTGAGCTTTTATGTGACAAGGTCGGTCAAGTGTTGTTAGAACTTGGCGAAAAGCCAAAAATAGAAGCTAGCAGAATTGGTTTGAATAAATCCAAGGATAAGAAACAGGTGGCTGATAGACCTGTTAATGTGACTTTGACGAGCTCCACAATCGTGCAGCAGATTTTGACTAGAGCAAGGCATCTCCGTAGCTCAGAACTTTTCAGTAAAGTCTTTATCAGTACAGATAGGTCTCCAGAGGAACGTGCCGAACAGCAAAAGCTTGTTTTAGAACTCAAGAAGAGATCGAACGACGAGCCAGATAAGAGACACTTCATAAAAGGAGGCAAAGTGTGTAGTGTGGACAAAATTGTTGTTTGAAAATTGAAATGTGTTAAGACAGAGTTTTGCTTGGATTCATGGATTCCTGGTTCGCTAAGATTTTAAATTTTTTTGATAAGCTCCTAAATCATATTCGTCTTTCAACACAAGACTGTCAGTCTTCTAGAATTTTGTTTTGATTTGTGTATTAAGCTGATGTATTTAATCTTACTTCCAGGTCCATAATTGCGTGTGGAGTATATTTATAGAGTTATTTAGGTTTTATACTAGCAGATTTAGGTATATAATTATTGTATATTATTGTATGTATAAATTCTTGAGTAAACATTAACCAGTGAACAAAGCTGGTTCCCAAACAAACATTTGCGAAACTGATTTCGCTCAAAACAATAGAACTCAATAGGTTTCAATATTTTTTCATGAAATTTTCATAATCAACGTAAAATCGCATTTTGACCTTAAGTTTGGAGTGGAATTTTGAGTTAGGCTGCCAAATTCTGATTTTACCAGGCAGTTTGTTGGTCGCTTGCTATCAATCAAATTTCACAAGAAAATTAGAGTGAAACCCCCCCAACCCCCCCCCCCCCCCCCCCCCCCCCCCCCCCCCCCCTTAAAATCGTCACACAGCTGTTTAACAATATTATATTTATATAATATTTCCGTACAACTTGACGATAATCTCCAAAGTAATTCGACCAAAACCGACAGAACTTTGACTGTGATATAATTTAAGAGTTTAGAGTCTACCACCGAATCTTTCGTGAAATTTTAATATCATACCGCGCAGCCCTAAGACATCGAGTAACCGAGTTGAAGAGACGGCACTCACAAAGCTGAAAGGATGGTGATCAACATAAGTAGTGATTTTAAGGTTAAATTTCAATAATTTATTTGTAATCATTCGGAGAATGCACGAGTAGAGGTACTAATTCTTCTTAAATTGGGTTTTGCACACGTTATATTTACACTCCAAATCTCAGCGCCAGGGAGATAGTTAAGTGTACAATAATTCAATTCAATAAATGTGATTTGTTGAGTAACCTCTTCTCTCAATCATATAGTGTTATTATGGTGTAGCCAACGTAAATGGAGGTACGACCATGTCAACATGAAGAACTTCTTGCTTCTGTAAGTCAAATTGAATGTTCATTTTATATTCTAAAATTTGAACATTTTAATTTGTAGGGTATCTTGACTGTTGCAAATTTGCTGGAAATTATTTTGTAAATTTAACGATTATGTTCAATTTCACTTAAAGCAGATATTATTTATATATAAATAATATCTGCTTTAAGTGATATTAAATTACAACAAATCATGAACATCATCTTTATTGAAGTTTTTTACTTGTTATTGGAGGATTCTCAATGCCTAAAAAGAACTACAATTTCAGATTTGTGCTATGTCTACTTTTTAACAACTCAAAATGCGGTAATTAGTCTTTATAAAGTTATAAGTTTTGTCAAATGCCATTCATACAAAAGAAGGGTACAACATTCTCTGTCGCATTCTTCCCTTTATAAGTTATTAATTACCTAGCGAATTTTTAAGAATGCCGAATAGTTTATGTTTCAAGTTTTTGGCTCATTCAATACATCAATAACTATTAATATTTAAATCTATATCGATTTCAGGTCCTGATATATTTAAGTTAACATCACAACCTGAGTCACAAACTATTAATCCTGGTGGAACTGTTACTTTGTCCTGTGTAGCTACTGGAAGAACTGGTATTATAGCATACTCCTGGTACCAGCTAAAATCAGACTTCAATACTCCTCCTCAGAACACAGACCTGATTAGTGGAGCTACAGGAGCAGAGTATTTAGTGGACGCAGTTGATGTTGATGAAAGTGGAGAGGGTAATTTGTTCCAGTGTAAAGCTACTTATGGAGACGATATTATTCTCAGTAATGTTGCAATGGTAAAGTACACATTGGAAGGTTGGTAGCACTTAAACTATTAATTTATTTAGGACATCATTATTTTTATCAGGAATTTCTACTACCTACTTTGAACGTTAACATTCCCTAATTTATACATGTTGTGTTCAAATACGATAGTTGATGTTCAGTTACTGAGTAACAATTAAAGTCCCTAGACCCTACTATAATTAAACAATGTTGTACAATTTTTCCATATTAGTACAATCTTATATTTCTCAGACAAGTTAAGTTTCACTGGGGACAGCTATGAAAATATAAAATCGGAAACCGGAGATGATGAAGCTGACCCTAGTGCCTTTCTTTGGAGGTTAAAGTGCAATGATAATGTCCCTGATTGGAGTACAGCAATCAAAAATGGAGAACCCTACGATGTTTACTGGTACAAAGGAACTGAGACTGACAGGGTTGAAGTTAAATATACGAATATGTGGACATATTACACAAGTGGGTCTACTGGTTCTAATTCTATAACACTTGATATTGGAGGCAGTAAATATGCAGAATATACAGACTTAGGTCAATACGACCTGGTAATATTTAACCCTCAGACGTCTGATGGTGGAACTTATTATTGTAAAGCAGTGTCAAGGGGTAACGGAAACAGTGTCACATTAGGTTCAACAATCCTAGATGTTAAAGAACGTGAGTAATATTGTTCCATAAATTGTACAAACTTCTGCATTATTTAGCCTAGAGTTGGTCGAGGGGTTTAAAAGTTGATGCATCACTAGTACAGGTAAACCCCCCCCCCCCCCCCCCCCCTAAAATGTCACCACCCCTAAAACGCCACTCTTAATTGATTGGATCCCATCTTCTTAGAAAGTATTTTACCTAATCATTTGTAACTCCTAAACATAAAAAATATCATTCAGACATTGAAATTGAATCTAAATGATGCCATAAGGGCATTTTTTTCACTTTGTAAGAATTATATGAAATATTGACACTGGAAAAACACTGGTAAGTATGCAGTGTATACATTCTGCATGATATTATGATTTTATGAAACAAACGATTGGAATTTTTTATTAAGTGTCTTATCTGCAGAGAATAATGATTATGATATTCAATCTGGAGTCATAGCAGCGGGGTATGTTGTGCTGGCTGTTGATGAAACCGGAGATCGCAAAGTCACCCCAAATGTTGGTGATAAAGTTCTTCTGATGTGTGGAGGTGTTTGTAGAGCTAGTGATAAATGGGATATTCAGTACAAATGGAGGA